AATAGGCATTATTATGGTTGGTCACATAATCAGCTATATACTGTATGTATATATATATGTATGTGTTACTGTATGTATATGTATGTATGTGTGTGACACACAGTCAACAAGTAATCTTCAAATCTCTCTGTTAACCATCTGTTATTATATTTAGCACATAGAAAGTCCACAAATGGTTTACAATCTCTTATAAAGCTATCTAATCCATTTATCTTTAATCAAAGGAGTTAATTTCACCACCTCTGCTAATTCAGCCAATTTCAAAATCCATTCTTTAACAGTTGGCATCTCTTTTTCTTTCCAGTGTTTGGCAAGTACAATCCTCACAGCTGTCACCATGTGAAGGAATCACACCCCAAATTGTTTTTCAATTGACTTGTCCATCATAAAAGAAAAGCTTCAGGTTTCATTAATATTTGTATCATGAATATTTTTTGCATTGCCATTGTTATATTTATCCAGTATGTTTTCACATATTTGCAAGACCATCACATCTGATAAAATGAACCTGGATTTTGACTATATTTCCAGCACTTATTAGAAATCCCTTCATACATTTTCACTAATCTATCTCCTGGTGAAATACCAGTGATATATCATTTTATAAAAGTTTTCTTTCAAACTATAATTTAATGTAAATTTTAATCTATTCATCCATACAGTCTCCCATTTATCTAGTAATATATTGTACTCATTTTTTGGCCCATTTTACCATACACTCTTTAATGTATTCAACCTCTAGGTTCAATTTGACTAACATTTTATATACTTTAGAAATCAAGTGGTTGTCTTCAAAACATAAATAAATGTCCAGTTCAGATTTAGTTCCTGTGAAAATTTTTTTTATCAACTTTAAACTTTTCAAAAATTCTATAATAATTAAATCAATCACAAGCAAATCCTTCACTTACTAATTGTTCTCTTGTTCTTTATCTTAAATTCCTCTTTTTAAATTATCAATAAGTCTAATATGTCATCCATTTACATTCCGATATCATTTCTGTTCTATGTAGTGTTTCATGAGGTGGTAGCCAAAGACGCACTTTATCAGCTATCTTCTTTATGTTCTTTTATACTTCCACTATACACATGCAATTGATTGCCTAATAACATGAATCCTAAAACCAGGGTTAACTTTTACTTTGTCATACCACAGATAGGCATGCCACCCAAATCTCAAATGAAAACCTTTGTGGTCTAACAGCCTTGAAATTTATCGAAAAAGTTATTCAATCTTTTAACCATACCAAACAACAAACATCATAATATAATCTAAGATCCGGTAAACCTAGACCTCCTCTATCTTTAGAATCTTGTAGCAACTTATACTGTATTTAATTCTTGGTTTTTTATTTTGCCAAATAAATTTAGATATATCTTTCTGCCACTGTTTGAAAGTGAAATCTCTAATCAATATCAGTACAGTTTGAAATAAAAATAATACTCCAGGTAATACATTCTGAATTTCTTCCAATTAATTTTAAGTCTAATTTTTGCCATCTATTTAAATCCAATTTTATCTCCTTCCATATTTTACCGTAATTATTTTTGTAAAGCTTAGAATTTTTCTCAGTAAGAGTCACTGAGAAAAAGGCAAACACTGTGCCTTTTTCACAACTTTAAAGCTGGTTTTAAATTCCAATTTCTTCTGATCTTCACATTTATGTTCTTAGTCAGTATTGTCTAAGTATTGTCTTTAATTTATTTATTTTTAAATCCACCATTTCGTGAAACATTTTAATCTTCCTTATAACATATTTAATGCTCTCTAGTGGTCTTTCGCAATCAATACCAAATCATTGGCAAATGCATGTAATTTGTAATTATGCACTTTAATTCGTAGTACTTTTGCTCGGTTATCCTGTCTAATATCTATTTAACAGTTCTAACACTAGAATAAATAATAAAGGAAATAAAGGACATCTCTGTCTTGTTCCGTTTTGGATTTCACAAGGTTTTGTAAAATCTTTATTCACATGATCCAAGCTTTCTAGAGTGTATAGATGAACTTCAGACCCTGTATAAAGCCCAATCCAAATTCCATCTTTTCCACTACTTTAAACATAAAGCCAGTTCAATTTGTCAAACATTTTTTCTACATCCAGAAAGATTAATGCAACCTGTTTATTGCTACATTGTTGTAAATATTCAATTATATTCAAAATTATTCTTACATTATCTTTTAGTTGTCTTTTAGGTAAGAATCCATATTGGTCTTCATGTATATAGTTCTGTAAAACTTTTTAAAGTCGTTCAGTTAAAATAACTGTAAAGAGTTTGTAGTCATTATTAGGGAGAGAAATTGTCCCGCAATTCTTCAAAGAAGTTAAATCTTTGGGTATTAAAGAAACGTAGGCATCCTTCCAAGAGTCCAGTATAGGGTTTCCTTGTAGAATAAAATTAATTAAATCCTTCATCGAAAAAAGTAGTTGATCTTCAAAAGTTTTATAAAATCCACTGAGTAGGCCATCTGGTCCTGGAGCTTTATCTGTTTTAGCTCTTTTAATTGCTTCTGTGTTTTCAAAAGTTGTTATTGGACTATTCAAACTTTGCTTATACTTTTCTGATAGCTTAGGAAGATCTTTAGTTGTTAAATACTCCTCCATAGTAGTAAAAGATTTCTTGCTGTTTATATAAATTGATATAATAATTCCAAAAAAAGTCTGAATGTTTTTGATAACCATGTAAGTTTTATTCCCCTGTTGGCATTTGTTACCTGAAAGACTGGCAAAAATGTTTAAAGATAAATCAACTAAATGTTGGAAATGTCATCAGACACTGGGAACATATTATCATATGTGGTGGATGTGTTTAGAAGCAAAAAAATACTGGGCAAGAATTTGTATGTGGTTGGAGAAGATGATGCAGCAGCATATTGTTTTAAAACCTGAGATATTCCTGTTGAGGATTTTACCAGGGAATTATAGTAAAGAAAATGTATATTGATTATTCATGTAATAACTGCGGCTAGAATTGTGTTTGCACAGAATTGGAAAGGTCAAGGGATTCCTGCATCTTCACTATCCTTTAGAAATTCTTCCTAGAATGTCAATGTATCAGTGTGGCATATGTTGAAAGAAAAATCCTGTTTGGTTCTAATCCAGGAGAAAGATGCTGAAAATAAAATGGGGGCCTCATGGAAAGGTCTCTGTTTATTTGGTTTTCCAGAAACTTTAGTGACATCAGCATGTTTCTGAGGTGGCTGACAAAATGGGATTGGTATAGGTGGGCCTTTATACATTTTTGGGGGCTTTGTGATTGAGATGCCTGTTCCTGTGTAAGAATGTGTCCTTTAATATTTTAATGCCTGTTGCCAGATTCCTATGGGGTCATGTAGGGATCATGGCTGGCTCTTCAGGCAAAAGAGAAAATGCAAATCCTGGGTGTTTGTCTGAGATAATTTTGTTTTGTCATCTTGTGTGTTGTTTATTTGGAGTCTCTGCTTATGAATAGATTGGTCGAGCTCTTCAAGCTTCTGTTGCTTGTGGCCTTACCCTAACCATATGGCAAGAAGACTGGAGCTGCTTTCTGCCTTTAAGAACATGTTTCTCCATTTCTCTTTTGGGGAAATATAATATTCTGCCTCTTTTAATATTCCCAAAATATTTCATTCTCTGGGAGGGAGGGGGGTGGGCTCCCACACATATTATTATTGTTACTACCATTACCATCATTGTTAAATCCACATGTCATTTTTTTACAAATCATATTGAAATAACAAAAATAATCCAATATAAAGAATTACTACACATAAAGTTACACAATACATAACAATACAAAACAGCCATAAGAATAAAACAATAACAATGTTAGCAATTATTTGAGAATTTTAAACAAAATTTCTAAAGTGGATACTATTAATTCTCATAATTAAGATACTGTATTTCCATACTTTTCCTTCTTCCATTTAAGAAAATTCATTAAATTTATTGTGCCACAAGATGGTGGTATGAATCCACACTATTGCAAACAATTTAGTATAAAACACAGAGATAATCAGATTTGCATTAGTATTGCAGAGGCCACCTAACCAAATTATTTGATACAGAAAATGCACACATTTCTATAAAGAAACTGTAATTTTGTAGCAGAAATATTATTCACAAGATTTTCCTATCTTTTGTCTTCATCGGTATTAGTGTTAGGTATTAAGACAGATACACTGAGGAGCCTGAATTTTGCAATTTTAATTATCATATTTTCTGTTTGTGATATAGCCCTATGTATTTCATTTACATGAAAGATTAAGCATTTTCTTAGGCTGTTTCTCATTTTTCCCCTTATACTTTAATAAAATTCCCTCTTATCTTTCATATTTGTAAGCTGAAGGCATTGAATCTTATTTAGCCTTCCATCGTTTAAAATTCATTCTATGCCTCAGTTTATTTTTGCTACCCTTCTATGTCTCATTTACATTTGTGACAGTAATTAAATACACTCAGTACTTAAATGAGATAGAAAAGCACTCCAGTGTTTAGGAAAATATTATTATGGAAACATATCTTCATATATTTTGCTATATTTAAAATTTCACTTTAAGCAAAGTTGGCATTTCCCCCCCATCATAACCCCCACCCCAGCCATTCCAAAATACTGTTCTTCACCTTGAAATTTAGAGAAATGCATTGAGCTGTTCAAGCTCTTCTATAATTCATGATATAGAAAGGCAGCATAAGGAAGAAAAACAAAAGCCCCAAAAATATAATATAAGTGGAGCTTGCTGATAGTATTTTTCTACTGGGTTGCACTCAGTACTTAAAAATTCCTTGTAAATTATTGTACTTGTTTACCAATTTATATTTCAGTATTTTTATTACAGTAAATAACCAGAATTAAAAACAAAATACAGTAAAAGCAAAACAAGGTAAAATATTACAATTGGTGATAATTAAAGTATATTTTTAAATATTTTTGTATTAAATATAAACAATATGATTATTTTATGCTATTTGGGTTTTTATGGTTTATTGATTGTTTTTATTTTGTTATTTTATTCTTAGAAGAACTTCCCTCAATGGGAGAATAAAACAGCATCCATGTCAATAGATTCCATATGGTATGAAGAAGGATTTGTTAATCCCTGAGGAATGGGCTCCAGAACGAGTCCAAAAGCTTGGAAGATTAAACCTCTGGTCTTCATGACTGACCCTGGATCTTGCAAGGATTTGTTAACCTCCAGGATATACCATGACTGTGAAATAAATGATGATGATGGGATGGGGCAGGGGGGAGGGGATGACATTTTCAAGAAATTCCCATCCATCCACACCCCATTTTAGGCCACAAGAGGAACTTTTGTTGGCACCACCAAAAACTACAAAACCATCATTTTGAATGGGGCCAAAAAAGGTATAAAAGGTATATGTTGAGCCTCTGCAAAATGTAGCAGTTGAATTGTGCTCTGATTGTGCTTCAGACACTGCAATTAGATTATCTGGGGTATTTTTTGAACTCAATTACATACAGTCAACTCAATAAAGTAGAATCATCAAGATTGTGCTGATCAGTGGTGGGATTCAAAATTTTTTAGTACTGGTTCTGTGAGCATGGCTTGTTGTGTATGGTTTGTTGGGCATGGGTGGGTGGTCATATGACTGAGTGGGCGTGGCTAACTTGACATCACTCATGGCAAGGTGGGGCAGCACAGGCGGGGCAATGCTGCAGAGACGGGACAATTTCTAAGTACCATTCCGAGCCCCTTCCCCTCCACTCTCTTGGGCTGACAAAATAAAAGCACATCTAAAGAGTGCAACTGCCTGCCGAGGTAAGGGGGGTGGGGAAAGGAAAAAAGCCCACTTGGTCTGTATAATATGTATTTGCCAGCACAATGAAGAATCTCTCTTCCAGCTTGCTGGTTCAGGCATTGGGAGCTTGAGGAGAAGATTGAGTACCCAGACTTGCTGCTGTGCTGCTCCAAGTCTGGCTCTGGCTGCAGCATCCAATTTTCATCCATGCTCATGCGAGGAAGCCAGGGAGCTTAGCGGCAGCATATTGCAATTTGCATGCCTTAACAAGCCCTCTGGTGGCCTCAGTGCACCTTTCCTTCCCATGGAAAATTTTAATCTGTGCACGTGGGGGCACTGTGGGAATCAGTGCCTGGAGTGAGAGGGAGTGCGGGCTGACTGGGTGGGGAAGGCTGATACTTCCAGTGCCCATGAGGAACCCAGGCTTGGAGCAGTTTTGGAGCTTGTTAAGAGGGACTCTTCCGCCCCAGTCATGCGTTTTCAAGCCTGGGTTGCTTGGAGTGAAAAACATGCAATATGCGTTTCCATCTGCCATTTTTCAGGCCGTTTTGGGGGCATTTTTGGGCCATTTTTTAGCCTGGAAAACAACTGAAAACAGCCAAAGCTGCTGCCTTTTGTTGGTGCGAGCAGCCTCCAGCCGCCACTTTTTGCTGGCCAGAACTGAGCTGGCAGCAGCGACTGGAGGCTGCTTGTGCCAGCAAAGAGCGGCGGCTGGAGGCTTCTCGCACTGAAAAAAAGAGGTGGCAGCTGCAGGCATCTTGCCGTGGTGAGCAGAATGGGCAAGGCACAGATATCAGTTGGGCTGCCTGGCTGGCATGGTAGGATGCGATGAAGGCCAGCAAGCTGGTGGCTCCACATTGGACAGTGGGAGGCAGCTAGCTAGGCCACAATTTGCAGGCTTACCCAGGCTGATCAGGCTGATCAGAGACACTGTGGTCAATGCAAGTGAGGAGCCAAATAGAAGCAACAGCTATGCTGGGGAGACGAGAAGTGACTGGGTGGGGTGGGTGGGTGGGGTGAGTGGCGAGTGGGCGGGCGAGGGTGAGTGGCAAGCAGGCGGGCAGGGCGAGTGGGTGAGTGGACGGGCGGGGGAGGGGACAGGGCCAGCCAGTGGTGGGATTTTCCAGTTCTCCAAACTGCTCAAAATTTTCACTACCGGTTTACCTGAATTGGTGAGAACCGGCTGAATACCACTTCTGGTGCTGATTTAAAGTGGAAAGAGAGAAATATCATACCTGATTATCATCCAGAAATATAGGTTAGAATGGAAACAAAAAACAAGAAAGGAATGCCGAATTCCTTTCGGAATTCCTACTCAACTCCAAAGGAATTTGAGTAGTGTACTAATAAAAGTATGTGAACCTATCCATGAAGACATCAGGTGCTGAGCAGTTTGATTATTAGATTAAGAGACTGACAAACTTCACTCCCAAATAAACAGTGTTAGGGTGGTCTTGAACACCAAAAAAGGCCAGCGAGATCAGAAAGGAGTGAAGTGCTTAGAAGACATATATATTCTTATCATTACAATAACATCTTATTGTTACACTGTTATATATAGAAAGACTTGGGCAAAATTGTGGTAAACAATAGCACATAGCAATTGGGATTACCTAAGAGGGGAGGGTTAAGGGCTGGGATTGTGAGAGGTCTGCTCCTAGGGTGAGAGCCTCAGAGAGACTAGTGTGTGGATAGCTGTTCATACACCCCACTCCCCCACCCCTGAATGGGAGCTAGATAGATGGGTTTGGCTGATCGGTCCATCCCAGAGTGTCCAGTGAGAGGAATCAGCTGGGATGGAGGACAGTGTGGTTGATTAGTGTGGAGGAGTGTGGGGGGGGTGGTTAGAGGGAGGGGAGCCTCTGACACTTTTTTTATAGCACTGTGGAGGCTCCCTCCCCCATTGATCCCCCACAGGATGTCTGGGAAATAAATGGGAGTGATTAGAGGAGAATGACAGAACCCTTGATTCTTCAATAAAGGATGTTAGGGGGAAGAGGGAATATTTATCAGGGGGATGTTGGGCAGGATCATGTAAGGCAATAGCACAGTGGTGATGGGCAGGGGTTGTCATGGGAACCAGGCGGCCATTGCAGGGGAAGATAACCTCCAATGTTTAATATCAGTAATGTATTCTGGCCTCTGAGCTCATCCCAAGTTCCTGGCAGCATACCCCCAGAGCCCAGTGGTTTGGCTGCTGCTGCTGAATGCCAGGTCAATCAATAAGATCTTATTGAGGAAGAATGAATTGACCTGGCCTGAATTACTGAAACCTGATTGACTTGAGAAGGAGAGGGTTCCCCTCTTGGAGGTGTGTCCACTTGTGTTTTAAGTTTGGCACCAATGAAGAACCCAAGGAAAGGTAGGGGAGGTGGGGTGGCATCCTCAGAGACTTTCAGGGGCCTTGTTTACAATTTCTGACTGTTTCTGAAGTTGGGCTCACAGGATCACATCCTTGCTGTTGTGTAGCAACTTTCCTGCCTGAGATGTGGGAGGCTGTCTCAGGGCTAGTGGTGGAGTTCCTCCAGGTTCTGGGGGACAGCCATCTCTGGATGTGGCCTCAGAAGCATCCCAGGAGTTCATGGCCCCATGGCGGCCATGGACCTATCCCAAATTATTACTGGCCAACTAAGGACATTGTTACATGCCAGATTTGATCTTCTTGTTGGAGCAATGGCAATGGGACCTGATGAAAATTGGACACTATATTCTCTAAAGTCCTTGTTATAAAGCATACTTTATAAAGTATAAAGCACATTTATACTTATTCTTGGCTTTAAGGGGACACTTGGTTTGCTAGATCTTATGTGAAATGTTGGCATTTCAAGATTTTATTGATAACAACCTGTAATTTACAGGACATCTAAGATGGATTCCTTGGGAATCAAACCGCAGTGGCTGAGCTTAAAAAAAGCAAATTAATGCTCCTTGGTCCACTAGGTTCTTGAACAGTTGCTCTAAGGGGTCATCTGGTTTGCATCTTGCCTGTGAGTCTGGGTATTCTTTATTAGTTTCACAGTAAGTAGAAGTGATCACTATTAGGCTAGATAGTTACTGAAAACAACATAGCATTTTGTAACACTATTTGGTGCTAACCCAAAATTAATGATATTGGAATCTGTCCATCTCAGGATGAATGCTTTGGTTTCCTCATTGATGGATCTGTTTAGAATAGAGCACTCAAATTTAATGGTTGGTAGACAGTTTTCATTCAGGCTGGTAAATGAGTGCTAATTAATCAGGAAAACAAGATTTCATTGTTTTTGCCCTAGTATAGCAGTACAATCCATATGTTTATGTCTGGTAACAATAAAACAAAACCATACTTCTCTAACTTATTTTTTGTAGTTGTTTTGGTCCAGTAGATGCCAAGGAACCATAACGCAATTAAGAATTAATCATTTATAACCACTTGCTTTTAGGAATAGAGAGAGAATCAGGTCATGTATAATGTATAAACAGTAGATGTGCATAATTCATTCAAGTTTGGTAAAGGAAGACATCACATACCCTTAAGTCTTGAGATGGCCACAAAAGATAGGATAAAAAAGTTGGCAGGAGGATAATATTTGCAATCAAGTTCATGAAGAAGAGTTTTCATTTTTATTGTTATTAAGATATTTTGCAACATTTTATGGGACAAATTGGTTGATAAAAGTCTCAGGATTTTACCAATGAAATCCAGGGAGAATTTGGCAATAGAATTGTATTTCAGGTCTCTTCAGGATTGGGGAATCAGACAAGGTCATTGGTAAGAGTGCAAGGATTTTCTACTGAATGAAAAAAAAAATCTGCCCTCTTCCCGTAGCCAAATCAGACTAAAAGAGAGGTTGAGTATATTTTGTTTAAATTGATGATATGCTATTTTTCTAGGTAGGCTCTTTTATAATATTTACTGTATTAGATCTCTTTTTTCCTTTTTTCCCCCTCTCCCTCCCCCTCCCTAGCCTCCCCTCCCCACCCATCCCCCCCGTGACTTCTTCATAACAAAAAAAAACCCTAATTCATAACAGATTACTTACTCCCTCCTCTAGATATTGACCTTTACTTACTAAAAATATTATTAATATTATAACATCCCCCTTTATCCATACATATCAAAAAAGAGAAAAGAAAGGAAAAAAAAAAGACATTATACTATGACATTATAAAATAACTTCTCCACTTTAAAACTATACAATAAGTCCTACTTTAACATTTAATCTTCTATATATATTACTATAACATTCCAAAGCGGCCTTCCCCATAAAATCTAGTTTAACATTTATTCCACTCTATCCATTTCCTCCACTCCCCTAAATATAACACTTAAAAATCCCTTTTCTTAGACTAATCAATCTACTAAATAGCTTATTCACCCACTATCATGCAAAATTGCCATACACAACATTTCTTAACATCTTTGATTCACTGCCCACACTTCTTAAAAATATATGTCTATATTTTCCATTATATCTAAATAAAAAAAAAGAAAAGACAATGACTTTAAATTTATAATCCATATAGTATCTTCTTTGAGGTCTTTCCACTGGATTGGTAGAACCAACATCCATAATCGGGTAACATAGCTTACTGGTGCAACAGTTTATTCAAGATCTTCAATCATATCTGCCCCCATCAGTAGTAAATATCTTCTTATATGTATAAAAGTAAAAACAACCACCCGAGTGACATTATAATTATATTCCATATAGTAATAATTGTGGGTTTCATCAGGATTATTAATTCCCATCATCGTAGTGGGTAACAACCCGATCTT